GAAGTGGCAATGGGCCGGCCATGTAGCTCGAAGAATCGACAACCGATGAGGAAGAAAGGTTCTTGAGTGGCAGCCTCGTACCGGTAAGCGAATTGTAGGGTGGACCCGCTAGATGAAGTGGCGGACGGAGTGCAGGTGGCTTAGGAGCGTTATTGGTGACATTCCTTATGACAGGCCTATGTTCAGCAGCAAGTCCACTAATAAAGGGCTGTAAAGATGGCGATGATGACGATGATTTTTATTAATGGCGCTATTTTCTGTTTTACTGACAATTGATAATTAAATTTATAAAATGTCAAAAGCGACAACAAAGTCCCAAAAATAATATTTTTTTTAAATTCTTCGATACACTATGATGCACAGGCACCGACTTCAGAAGCTATGACATTTAAAATTAACAAATTTAGATTTTTTAAATTTTTTTTTATAAGGACGAAAGCAAAATTGAGTCACCGGGTAGTGACGGTGTGAGAATGTCCACTGGGTCGTGTGGTCCCATGGGTGTCGTAAGAAGCGACAGATGAAACTTAAGCAGAAGATGCACAGCAGCATCCTTCTGATAACAACGCGAAATTATTTAAAAAAAAACTGCGGTTGCAAACCCACTTACCAAGCGTGGCAACTCAGCAAAATCCTTTCTATGAAGCATTCTATGGAAGAGGCCTACGTTCAGAAGTGGTTTTATAGGCTGTAACGGAAGGGAATGGACGGACGGAAAGCAATATGACAACTTCAAAGTAACAACTAGAATGTCGTCTAAATAGTAAAATTACAAATAGCTCCTCTATTTTCAACCTTTTGGGGGATTGAATGGGAACATCTTAAGGCCGAATACGAAGAGAACTGGCGAAAATTAATATATTTCTCTTGACTAGAACTTTGACCTGAAGTAATTCTAAGCTTTAAAACATTTTTGTAGGTTTGTTCGGGTCCTTCACAAGGTGACCGTCATTTTAAAATTTTAAAATAAATGAATATACTAACAAATAAAAAAATGTTAAGAAATGATATATAAAATTATTGTTCTTCCAAAACTCTGTGAATTTTAATTTAGGAAAATTCTTTTCCGTAAAAATGTTTGTATTGTGATTCCGAAGGTACCTGCTATCTTTATTTTCGATAAATATTATTTAGTTTCGTTTTAATTAAAAACACCTAATAATAATATCGTATATTGCCAGATAAAAGTTTGCCGTGATAAATTACCAGGCACTTCGACGTGTGACGTAAGGTAACAACAGTCGATGTGTCTGTAGCGAAAATCGTTAATTTAGTGTTTTATACGCGATTAAGTGACTATAAATGTAAATATGGGTAGGAAAAGAAATAAATGTTACCTAAGTCGTAAAACAAAGAGAGTTTATCGCATGAACGCTGCTCGAATGTTGTATTTTCAGGTTAATACTTATATTTTTGTAAGGTAATTTTTTGAATAATACTAGTTTTTACGGGACTGTCCCGCCCGTGACCATGAGTGCTGTAAAGCGTTCGAAACGTCGGGTATTTAAAAAGTTAAATATGCGCGATAAATTCCGTAAAAACTAGTATTATTTCATTGTGTAGTGTTTGCGTAAACATAAGAAATCATTAGGTAATTTTTTGTTTGAGGCTGCCTAATAGGTTGCATTTTTACTCATTTACATTAGCCAAACTGATCATTTATACTTTTCTAGTTTCAAGCGAGAAACACTAAAAATGTAAATATCAAGACCCAGTCGGAAAAGAATGTACAGAGTAGTACAAGCACAGAGACCGCAAATAATGTCATAGTCAATGTATTGTCCGAAAGCATGGGGTAAGTACATAATTAAGAAAAACCGAAATACTTCGGATGTGAAGTGATTGATCAGTCGGAGTAGTCTTGTGAGAATTTACATACACAGTACCTTATCCCCACTATGGGGCAATCACCGACTTTTTAGTTTTTTGTTCTTTATTATTTATGCAATTTGCATTACGGCATCTTGTAAGACTCACAAGAATAAACATTTTCAGTTATATGAGGTTCTTCACGTACGATGCACCAATTTGCTGCGAAACGAGCAAGGTCATTCGCGTCGTATTCGGCCTTAAGGCATATCTATTTAATTTAAAAAATAATCACAAACTCGTTTTACAATTGATTTCCGAATGCCAATTACGACTAAAAATAGGTATCCCTTTTTAACTCACCTCGCGCCGACTACAGTCTTAAGGGTAAGAAAGCAATTATATTAGTTTGGTATGATAGGCGGTAAAGCATTACATATTTGTGCTCATAGCTGGAATCGCATATGTGGCTTCCTTAGGCTTCTGTAGACATCATCAGGTTAGAAGTAAGAGTACATAGCGCATAGTCTACCAGAGTGGAAAGTGGATTCTGTGACATATATTTTATACATCTATCATCGACCTATATAGATACCTACATCTATCATCGAGTAGGAATCCAGAAGATTCATTGTCACACTTGAAGACTAAAATGGAATAGGTACCTTGATACCGGTAAAAAGAGTTTCCGATTCTCTACACTCAACATCAGAAACAGCCGCATTATGTCCCATTTCGTGTGACTTTACCACATAAAGATGGATTATTATCTCGTTTCTCACTCTCATGTTATAAAAATAGAACCGATCAAGTGTGAGTTGGACCTCGCTCTTTTAGAGGTTCCGTATATAATATTATGACCAACTAACTATTTTTAAACTGTATATTTACATACTGTTTTTTCTAACCAGCAAAACATAAAATAAAAAAAAAACTTTTTTTTTGTAGAATAAAACAATTATATTTATTAAAGATTATTAGTAAATCATTGTTATTTGTGTACTTTTACCAATGGTCCGGATAAAAATCTCTGTTCTGGAAATAAACATTAAGGTGAAAGCTTATATGAACTAGCGCTTATAGTATTTATTTGTTGTTTAAACTAAATACTGTATATTATAGTACATACTGTTTAGAATCCCTTTTATTATTGAAATAGACACCGTAACAAAACGGTTTAAAACAACATCTTGACAACTACTTTTTAACAGACTTCAAAAAAATAGAGGTTCACAATTGTTTCGTATCGAATGTATGTTTTCTTTGTATGTTTGTTACGTGATATCTTTGCCAATTGAGGTCACATTTGAATGTGTCTTTTTTTATTAAATGGCTTATACTTTAGAGAAAAAATTCCACCCCTTATGGTGACAAAAAATGCTTCTTGGAAGTCTGCTATTATTTTTTGTTAAAAGTTATAATTATTTATTGCGAAAAGTAAAAAACATTGAGATCTAGAGAGTGACACCCCACATGCTACTCGTAGAGTAAGAAAGATATTTTTGGCCCATGCACTTGTGCGATTCGTCTCATGTACAGCAGTGTGTTTTATAGACTGATAAAGATAAACACTTTCCCTATTATAGTACCCAATTTTATCTTAACTGACGTATAAAGTTATGAATACCATGGTTCTTAAGAAAGAATTCTCACAAACGGCTAAACCGGAAGCGGATTTTATTGTAACATAGTGTTAAATAAAATTACATAATACGAATATAATTTTTTACTTTTGTCTTCCTATCTTGAAATCTTTTTATATTCCTTATAAACTTATCTCTTTCACATAAAAGTACAGATGGTACGTAATAATCTAGCGATTAATTAGTATTATTTCACATCATGATTACGGTCCTTTGTCCGTGTTGATAAAGATGAATGTGTAGCTTATACTGTTAATATTAGTTTGAATGCTAGGCACATAATATCTAATAATGTTGCTATCTACATTTTCATTTGTACTGGCCGTTTGTGAGGTATTGGCCATTTGATGCTTTGTAAAAAAGAATAAAAAAATCGATAAAAATTTGTGTGACTCTGAGAATTGAGTTTTAGCAGAGCGGCTGTAAGGACTCGTGATCCTTTGCCTTTCCCTTAAGCATCAAAGAAGCAAAAAAAAAAACAGCCTAGTGTGAAGAAGTTTTTACGCAAATTGTTATAAAAGATTATTTTTTATTACTAGACAGTAGCAAAAGTACAACCATGACATTGCACCTTTTTATTTTCACCTTTTTAGTTTGAAGTTTACTAGGTGTTAGGACTTTTTCTCTATCTCTGATCGTCTGGATACACACACTACACTCTAATTAATATAATACTACACTCTTAATTATTTCCACTCCTCCAGCAGAAGTGCTTGCACTACTAAGTTCCTGTCGGAAGGGTATGGAGAGCCACTATCATTAGAGGTTGCGTGGCATTTCATCTTTGTCCTCAGAGGTGACAAAGAATTTGTTGCCTTAAAGACTTCTTATATTTTCGCAAACACTACACACCGAATAAAACTATTTTTACCGATTTTCTTACGTTTAACGTTCGATTTAATAAAAAAAAAAACTAAATGCGAAATAAACACGTAAAATAGTTTATTTAATTATTTTTATAGAATAAGGTTGACATACGAGCACACAGTCCACATGATGGTAGGTGGATGCTGTGGCCCATAGCCATCTACATTTATCCCCGATTAAGAATAAAACGCAGATGCGTTGTCACCCCTGTGGACTAAGATAGAATACCTCGTTTCCATTAAAAAGGCCCTCCGAATCTCTACACTTACCATACGAAACACAGCAGTATTAAGCTGCTATTTTACGCTGGTATTCTGTGAGAGCGTAGTTCTTCCCCGGTCGAGCTGCCTCATTCGTGCTACAACCATTGATTTATATTTGTATAACTCAATGGCTACAACCATAACATAGCTGCAGCGTGGCTCAACCTCTACCACGTATAAAATATGACGTAAATTTAAGGAATTCGTTCGTTCGTTCACGTAAATTTAAGGAATTATTACGTAAACCAGTACGGACTGGAAATATCAAATAACTTAAAAGTAATAAATTCCTTATTTGTTTGAAGTTACGTTAGTAGTTGTAGTTTTCCATCTGCTTCAGTAACCACATATTGGATAGATCGCCTGTTAACGAGTTCATCACTGTATAAATATCATTAAATTCCCATTCTTGTTGCAGGAAGAATCTGGTGCTGCAGCCAGTGGACAGGGAGGAGGACGTCCACTTGTTTACGTACAGAGACGTAAATAGAACACACGTGTCGGTAGTGCTGGCCCAAAGTGTGGACCACTTGGTCGACAGCGACTCACCGCAAAATGTCGTCAAGTTCCGCCTTGGATGCGATTTTGACACTGGCGACGATCTTGTAAGTATCTAGAGGAACTGATTCCTTATCAGCGCGTCAACAGCGCACTCTATAGTCTGTACTCTGTACACACACCTCTCGGTATATTAATTAACGTATAATATATGCCTCTGATGCTGCTTCGCGTCTCTAAGTATGCTATGAATAACTAGCGCCTGGGTGAGATCATTTAGATTTTTTTGAATTAATCAGCAAATATCTTTATTAAAGTTTTCGATTTCTCAGCTATTCCGAAAATTACAGAAACATACAGACAGACAAAAATTAAAAGAAAATGTTATTTATTTATTTGCAGCATGCAAATAACCCCAGCAATTTTATCTGGTAGAGCCATGCTACGAAAGGCTCGGCCCGACCGGGGAAAGACCACGCTCTCACAGAATACTAGCGTAAAATAGCTGCTCAAGGCTACTGTGTTTACTATAGTAAGTCTAGAGAACCGGAGACCCCTTTTGCTGGATACGAAGCATTCCCACTTCGTCCTCTCTCTGGAGTGACAACGCAATCTGCATTTTGATTCCTAATCGAGGCTATCATCTATATGTAGATGTCTATGGGCCACAGCATTCACTTACGATCAGGTGGATTGTGTGCTCGCTTGTCATCCTTATTCTATAAAAAAGCCAATTATTTCAAAATAACAGACAAACCCTTCAATTTCTATTTGTGTACAGATGTCAATAAAAAGGGTTGTATACCGCCATCTATCGGATATCATAAGTAATTCTGTAATCTGAACATTTTAATATCCCATAGCTTTCTGTATAGAGTAGACAGCAACGCCGTCTTAGGCCATACCGGGGCCCTTGGGCACACAAGAATTTGGGGCCCTGTTGTAAAGTAAAAAAACGTGAATGACAGAAACATTTTTCCGCTATGATCATATATTTATATAGTTAATTGGTAAAAATCAAATAATTTGTCATTTATGAGGGCTTCCACGCCTTTTTTGCCACCAGGGCGGCGCCACTTTGCAATGAGGTAAAATAATTGACAGATTTAATTGCGGGGACGATAATTTCTTAGGAAAATGTAAACTTTAATGTTTCTTTTCTAAACTGTCTTTCAAAAAAAGAAAACTTAAAATTTAGGCTTCACTTTTCTAAAAATAAGGATTGTAACGATTATTATTTTCTATAAAAGCTAATATTTGCGGTCGAAAATTATCAAATTAAATAGATCATTTGCCGTTAAATCTTTTGAAGTGTTATTTTTATTAATCAGTACGAAATGATATTTCTCTCTCATAGATTATAAATACCTATATAGATTGCCGAAAATAAAAATAAAATGCAGGCTGTAAGTACTGTACATAACGACAAAAACGTTTAGATGGCGGCAAAACGCGGTACTACATATTTTCTACCTAGGAAATCTGTCAATGCCATTTTTTCTGGCCAACTCGGCCGGGCCCTGTGTGCCCTTATCATAAAGACGGTGCTGGTAGGCTCTTTTGACACCCAAAACTGATATATCTTATGGTTTCATTTTTCTAATTCCCCCAAAACATGACGTAAACAAACATGGAACTGTTTTAAAAGGTGGAATAAAAGTGAAAAGGATGATTAGGTTCACTTAATAATCTTTTACCACGCTGAAAATTTTCAATAATTTTATATAATGATGGAAGTGAACTTGTGAATTAGGTACCTAGGTAATTTATGGCATGAAATCGGAGTTCGGCTAGCATATTATTTAATATACATGGATATTCAAAATGCAACACCAACACACATGTGAAAAACCATCAATATCTTATGAAATTATATCTAATAAATATTATAAAAGTAGCATCTAGCGTCTTAAAAAGTAGCCTGACAAAATTAAAATTTTGATATGAGACAGCGACATCTAGTTTCGCAAAAAAACTTTTTTCGTTACGTTTATTACGTACACTCTTTACTGCTTTACGACTTTCTGGCTTTTTGCAGTAGATGTCAGTCGTGAAAGCCTGCTGAGATTTTTTTAATTTATCGACTGGCAGCACTAGCAGTACGTGTGGCATAGCATAATTTAATATTTTGATTTTATTGATAGATGGCAATTTAACTATACGTTAATAGAGGAAAAATTAAAAACGTTATTAATCTAGAGAGTTTAACGTCTATAAGTTTCAGACAGAATAGAATGACAATATCTGTGAGCCATGTTATATTGAGATCATAATTTTGTATATTTAGATCATAATTTAGTATATTTATTAGCCGTCTACGGACGAGAAAAGAACCAACACCCTTGTCTCCATCGAAGACGACAAGTTGCGGATATTATGTACACGTTTTAAATATTCATTGTATTTGTATTCATCATGGAGTATAGAGGTAAGGAGGACAATATAATATAATCTCCTATAGGACAATAGTTGAATATGTGTGTCCATCTGTAAGCAGTAAATAACAGTTCAAAAACTCTACACAACAGCGTTCGAGTAGCGACGGCGTATGATAAATCGCCATAAAATACGTTGAGAGTGATTTTGAAAATAAAAATTTTGAAAGCAATAACATAATTATTGTAAAACGAATTATGATGAAAGTGTGTGCAGTAAAAAAAATATAAAAAGTTCTTTAAAATTAAGACTGCAGCTACAGTGGCGCCACCCTTATTTAGCGCTTTCCTACGGACATTTTTTAATACAGTCTCAGACTTTTATACATTCTTTTACCCTTTCTTCCATCAACAATACCAACAATTGATATTGTTGATCGAAGGAAGCAACATAAAAAGTGCATATGCACTATTTATATACTTATTATGTTTAGTGATATGTATATAAGTATGTATCTATGTGTATATGTTTGTATATACTTAGTCAGGTCATAAGTTCTGTCAAAAACTTTTTAGAAAATTAATGATACAGTTTTTGATGATTATATAGAAATTATATATATATATATATATATATATATATATATATATATATATATATATATATATATATATATTGAAATTAAAGGTAATTTAATTAAGAATACAATTTTATTCACATTATTCAAAATGCCCTCCTCGATTTTGAATATATGCCCTCAGTCGATGCGACCAATCATGCCACTGCTTTAGCCAACGATGCTCGGAGAGATTCCAGATTCTGATGAGGTTTAGCGCAGACTTTCTCCTTCAAATGTTGCCATATCTTATAATCCAGTGGACTTAAATCTGTACTAGAAGAGCGCCAGTCTTCATGTCCGATAAAATCATTTCCATGGGCGGTCAACCTGTTTTGCGTGCTTCGTACCCTATGAGCTGGTGCAGAGTCCTGTTGGAATATCCAATGTTTGTTTTAGAACATTGTTTGAGAAATAGGTTCCACTATTATTGTTAGGTATTTTGGTACATTTCGGCTGTGGTGTTTACACCTTTTTTACAGAAAAACACCTCAGTTAAGCTTGAATATGAGACTCCAAGCCAACTTCACTTATTAATAAATGAACTCAAGAAACTTTGAAATATTATTATTTGGTATTAGTAGTGTATTCTCATCTGGTTTGGCTGAATAAGTATAATATAAAAGGAAATTATAAATATACATAAATATATATTTCATATACCAGCAAATAAATAAATAATACATAAATAAATAAAAGCCCAACCAGATGGAGGCCGGGGGAGGCAGGGGAGAACAAACGGCCGAGGGTTAGGGGGAAAGGGAGAAAAACCGGCGGACGATGCGGGCGGTATCGAGGAGCACCGCCTTCTGCATTTGAGCCTGGAGCGGTCCGTCACGGAGCCCCAGCCTCCTCAGATGACCCAAGAGGCTGACTGGGATTAGCCCGTTTGCAGAAACGACTACAGGAATAATTTCAGTCGGCAGACCACCCCACATGTTGGTCACCTCGTGAGCCAGGTCCAGATATTTTGTTCGTTTATCTGTTTCGGCTTCCACGAGGTTCTCGTCATACGGAATGGTAATGTCGACCAAAAATATCCTTGACTGTGCCCGGTCCATCAGCAAAATATCAGGCTTATTCGCAAGAATAGTCCTGTCTGTGATGATGGCCCGGTCCCAGTAGAGCCTGGCGCGATCATTTTCGAGCACGGCTTCCGGCAAGTACTTGTAATACGGCAATTTCCAGTCCACAAGACCGTATGTCAGAGCAAGCTCCTGGTGAAGAATTCTGGCTAATAGGTTGTGCCAGTGCAAGTACTCAGAGTTAGAAAGCGCCGAACAACCGGAAATGACATGCCTAAGTGACTCACCGGGATGGCGACAAGCTCGACAGACGTCGACAGTGCCATCCTTTAGGATGTATCTCCGATAGTTGTTGGTCTTAATAACCTGATCCTGTATTGCACAGACAAAACCCTCGGTTTCCCCGAGGAGGTCACCAAAGCGTAGCCAGTGGAGGGAGGCTACTGTGTCTACGAAAGGCTCATGTAGAGCCTTGTAGAACCTCCCGTGGAGCTCCTTCTCCTTCCATATGGTTTCCCGGTTGGAAATGCTCTGCACTGCCGGGTCTTGCCATTGCTCGTTGGCTAAGGATAGAGGGGTTAGTCCTTTATCACAAAAAATGACGTCCTTATAGAATGGATCATCCGATCTCACCAGGAAGTAATTACGGAGGCTGCACACTTCGCGATTATGCATGGTGAGCGCGCTCAAAAAGCCACGCCCACCATACTTTCGCGGCAAGTACAGCCTCATTAACGACGATCTCGGATGATGCATCCTATGGGACGTCATAGTAGTGCGGACTTTTCTATCCAGGGCGTTTAGTTCAGTCTGAGTCAACCTGAGTATGCCAAAGGTATACATGAGGACAGGCATGACCCAACCGTTACATGCGTGTGTCTTATTCACACCAGACAAAAGGCTGTTGAGCACTTTGGTCAAGCGTGCACAAAACACGTCGCAAACTGACTGTTTCGTACCAGCCTCATCGATACCGATGTTCTGTGACACACCCAGGTATCGGTATGTTTCAGCCTCGGAAAGGGTCCTTAAACTGATGGGCATAGATAAGTCTATGCCCTCAGAGTTAGCAACCTTTCCCCTTTCAACA